TTGTGGTTCAGATATTAATTCTACTGACCCCCCCCCTTCTTTAGCTCAAACAACTTTGATGCCATTGCACACAAAATGGATTCTCTGGTTTGGGTTTCCTTCCAGTTGCAGCACAACCTTAAACTTAATTTTATTACATGTACGAGTATTCTGGTTTCTTTTCAATAACCATGTTTTTCTTATAAAAAAAAAAAATTTTGAAAGCAAAATTTAAATCATTTGATAACATTAGACCCACCTGAACAGGCGTGAAAGGTGATTTCACTAGCCACAATGCTAACAGTATCGGAATTTCTACATTCTACTACGCCATACTGTTCCAAGTATTCCTTGAACTGTGTTGTTCCTTCAGAGTATTTTACGTCAACAGTCTTAACCTAGTAGAAATGGGAAAAAAAAACTATTCCTTAAGCGCTATTACCTATATTAACTAACAAAGCCATCATCATATAAATGAGATTAGACAAGATACAAAATCTATACCTAAAAATTTTACAGGTTCAGATAAATGTTTTCAAAAGTAGTGTGTTTGAGAATGAAATTATAAGGTAGGTAAACTTTCAAAACTTTAATTATGTAGCATATAAATTATAGTTTTAAGTATTAAATTAGACAGTTAAGAATTGGATTCAAGTTACATAACCATACCTTAGTAGATTGTGTATACTAATGATTAGTTTAACTTTAGAACAATAACGTTAAGTTTCTCTCTTGCCTTTAGGACCACTTTACCCATCATCGATCATGCTTAACCTGACAACGACAATTATGAGTTAGTACCCAATACTGTAATAAACTTCTACAAAGAATGGGGATGACTACACATCTTGACAATATCTCCGTATACTCTTCCAAAACCATGTTTAAACAGACGAAAGCTCAATGGAGTTAACAGGTAAGACTTTTTTCAAAATGGCAAGTTATTATTCATAACCACAGCTTTCAATTTGTGAATGTGGGTATTGTATTAGATTGGTTTGAGTTTCAGTTTTAAGGTCAGTTGTTGTCCTAAACACCCTGCTGTCCAAGAACGTTTTATCCTTTAACTTTTCAATACTTACCGATCTTATTACATGAATTATAAATATATCTTCACCCCTGGTGGCACTGCCCTGTTAAATTATCAGAAATTTTACTTTATATACTTATCAAATATGTTGCCACATGTAGCATGGCTTACACCTGTGTTCCACCTCTGTATTAGTACATGCAGACTGTTCTTATAAAGTGTGGTTAACCTTTTTTTCATGTGTCGGAACTCATTACACGTTTATACACAACTATACTTCAGATGATCAAGATAATATGTTGAAAGTGTTATCTTACCTAGTTAATTAAACAAGTCATGACTTAATATTCGAGTTTGGTACAGCTAATGCAAGAAGTGGAACATCAAATGATACAAGTCATTACACCACACCTGAGAAATTTGTGGGAGTTTTACCTGTGTAATAGACTTCAGCAACAATCCATCTTCAGTAGTAAACAACTTAGGAATATTCGTGAGTAATACGACTGTTCCATTTTCGTAGGTTTGGTTCCACTGCACAGTGCCCGTAGAAGCATCAAGAACAAGAACCTAGGGAAACAAATAAGGGGAAAGTTAGCATTTTACTTACCTAACCTCTCTGTACTGCCATGCAATTTCATACGCATGCCACAAATCTTGAACAATGCTACCACTGCTACGCCTGTCAACGTGTACTGCACAAACCTATGAAGTAACCATTATTAGACTATAGCTATACATAAACAGGAAGGCAACATATCCTTCACGAGCAGTAATTGCCACGAGTGCACGTAAACAAAGGCTCGTTCTTGATGTATTACACTATTCTATTTTCATCACGAGTGCACGTAAACAAAGGCTCGTTCTTGATGTATTACACTATTCTATTTTCATCACGAGTGCACGTAAACAAAGGCTCGTTCTT